AGGCCTATCGGCTCGGCTCTTCCTGTCCAAACTTTGAGTCCCATGTAAAATCCTCAGATGCAATTGCTGATGCTGTCTTTGTTTCCTTTGCTCTTGAGAGACCGGATTGGCACCGCCATTCCCTGGAGGGCAGATGTGTGGATATACCCTCCATATACAAGGGTCAGCAGAAGAAAGGGTCTAGCAGGAAGGGGTAGCATTCAACTCCCTTTTCCCCTTCTCTTTTCATTTCTCTCTCTCCTGTTGTAAAGATACAGTAATTTCTGCTTGCTCCTACATCCCTCTGTCTTTGACCACTTAATCAAAAAATGAAAAGCCCAATGTAAATAAAGCAGTATGTTCCAGTTTCTGCTTTTGCATGATGCAGCTTAGAAAATATAAATTTAAGTACAACCAATGTGCCTTGTTCACTCTAGCTGCAATTCTGTGTTAAAAAACCCAAACTCTGAGGCTTTTCCCAAGCAGTCTTGCTTTGTAGCCACACATGCTCACCATTCAGCATTGTGGTATTTCACAGTGTGAGATCAGCAGCAAACTGCTGAAGGCTTGGTCACTGGATGATGACAAAAGGACAGCATCTTATTTTTAGCAGAGTAAAGGTTGCTAAAGAGCTTTACTGAGATGAGCAAGCAGATCAAAAATGCTTTATAGTTCATGTTCCATAAAAGCCCTGCTGTTAATAGTAAAGGTTATAACCAAAATGGAGGCTGGCAATAACCTAACACAATCCACTTCTAAACACCGAATTCTTTGACAATCTATATTTCAAGATAATTAGCTTATTTGCTGTGTCTTGAAACATCTCTGATACATGCTGTTTTCAGGTGATATAAGCATAAACACACTTTCCTACTGTTTTATCAGATCCGTCAAATGCTCACCAGCCTATTTTGTTCTTTTTTTTTTTTTTTCCCAGGTTCTCTCATTATTTTAATTCTTTTATGGCCGTTTCAGTTGTGTTATTAAAAGCAGTGTATTTGCTATTGTTCCATCTTCCTTACAGTTAACATCCCATTGTCTAACCAGAACTGGGCATCTAAGACTACTTTCTGACTTAAACACAAAACACATTTTCTGCAAAAATTACTGCCTGAACGTTATATCCTCTGTTATCAGTCAGGCAGGACTGTAATTTGTATTTGTTGCTCTAGCTTGAGGCAGGACAGGGGTTCAGTGGAAAGCTTGAGATGACCTGAAATGAAGCATGAAAACATTAAATCTGTCACATCTTAGGATCAGTGAAGATGCAGGCTACCACTGGCCTAGGCTGTATGTAGAAAGCATCTTATTTCTGCAAAACACTGCATGTTAGGAGCTCAGAGATGTCATAAGCTTTTGCACAGAAAATAGCTTTTGGGCATATGTTAAGAACTTTTTTATTCTTTAACCTAAGTATACAGAATATATTGCATTACCTCCCTTTAAGTATCATGTCAGACTATTACACTTTTATAGTATGATTTTGCATTTTCAGCTGTAACTTCTATTTCATACATCTTTACTTTTATACAATGGAATTTAACTGCTGCACTGACAAATAAACCATCTAATGATTTTAAAGACCAGATTTTCTTTGTCTCAGAAAGGAATACTCGGAGATAAGCAACTTGACGAGTTGCCCAATTATTGATCAAAACAGTATCTACCTCCAGAAAACACAAATTTTCTTTGCCCTTAGTTCACACCTGGTACTACCATTGGTTATCTAGCTGATTTTGCAGTCTCCCTTCAAGTGTACTCAGAGCAATGGCACCACAAATCTGAGAAGCAAGGAGACTTTCGCAACAACCAGATGACAGCTAAGGAACCCAATTTCAGAACAGATCAGGATACAAATGAGCTTCATGTCCTTCAAAGGCAAGAACAGCTGACAAACAACATACTTGTGAATGTCAGCAAATGTTACAAGACAGCTTTCAGGCACCCCCTTTGGAGAAATAACATCAAGAATGACATCAAACATAAATGTACATAATTTTTATAGAAAGAACATCTTTTCAAACATGTCATCAAGAGAAACTGGAACATCAGTTGGGGAACAAGTTTGTTAAAAATTACTTTAAAAACTGAACTATTATTTCAAACCATTTGTTTTGTTTCTCCCCCCTTTTCTTCTGGAACATTTTTTATAGCACGCTGTTAAGACACTCATCAGATGTTGCATTTTTTTTCTTACCAAAAGTATTTTGAAGCTGAAACCAAGGTTAAAACCCACCAGTCTCAGAAGGAATTGTAGAAGAATCAAACAAGAGTTTGCAAGAGACATCTAGCCACTGTGGCTCATTAGTATAATTGATCACCTCTAGCCTCATACACCATAGTCAGATTTGCTTTAAAGATATACAGGTCTGTATAATTCTCACAGAATCACAGAATTCTTAGGGTTAGAAGGGACCTCTGGAGATTATCTAGTCCAATCCCACTGCCAAGGCAGGGTCACCCATAGCAGGTTGCACAGGAATGTGTCCAGGTGGGTTTTGAATGTCTCCAGAGAAGGAGACTCCATGACCTCCCTGGACAGCTGTTCTGGTGCTCTGCCACGCTCAACATAAAGACATTCTTCATAATGTCGAGGTGAAACTTTATGTGTTGTAGTTTATGGCTCCAGCTCCTCATCCTGTTGCTGGACACCACCAAAAAGAGTCTGGCACCAACCATGACTATGCCCTTTAAACCACAATACCATCATTTTACCATTATACTCAGTGAGAGAGGGAAAAAACATTTTGAATGGTAATTCTCTCATTTTACCATACCTGTAATTGCCAGCATGTCCAGGGGAAGGATAGACGTGGAAACACATTTCACCCACCTTAAATACAAATGCTCAGACATGCCTAGGTCATAATTTGTTAGCCCTTGACCACATTCTCCATAGCAAACCAAAGACAATGAGACTACTACCCTGTGCCCATTAACACTGTGTGGGAATTACACAAATGTAAAACACACTTTCCCAAGAAAAATCAAGTTTCAAACCAGCTGCAGCTTTTTAGCCAAAGCCACTGACTTTAAAAGGGGGCACAAGACTTGATCTGTGATATATGATTTGGGTTTATATGGCAGCGCCCACATTTTGTATCTGCCCTCTTACAGATGCCCAACAACCTAGCACAGCACAGAGTTGGTTAAAGTGCAGGAATGGCCTTTTCTCTCAAATCCAGATATATTAAATCATCCTTGATTGGCTTGTTCACTTGGTCACTTGGTTGGTTCAGCCTGGAGAAGAGGAGACTGAGGGGAGACCTCATTGCAGTCCCTTTCAACTCAGCATATTATAGGCTTCTATGATCCTTTAAAATTTATGCTTGCTCAACTATCCCCTGGTCCATGTTCCCAAGCCACGGTACCAAACAAACAGCTACCTTTGGGACATATCGCTAAGGCAACCTGCACCTGTTTTCTGGCTCCAGAATCCCATAGGCCAGGTGCAGCTCAAAACCCAACTGACCAGCTGCATGTGGCAGGAGGGACAATGGAGACCAAAAGGTTGAAGAGCAACCGGCAGTGTGTGCTGTAAAACAGATACCCAGTCACAGTTTCTTGCTGCATGATCCAGGGCTTCAAGGAGGCAATGAGCCACAGGATCGCGTCCGAATTCAGGGAGAAAAAAAAGTGGGTGACAAAGATGTTGAGAGGTAGGAAAATTTCAAAATCCAAATACGGGTTTCATGTAATGCAGGAAAACATACACGAACACACACACACACACAAGGAAATCTGAAAAAGAAGGCCCCTTCCCCTTTTACCACCTTGAAGGTCAGACACTCCTCACAGAACACAGACAAGGAGCACAACACAGGGATGGGGAAGGTGAGGATGAGCCACTGTCAGCCCCAGTGTTCCTTGTCTGCACAACCACACTCCCACACTGGGACTCTGGTAGGGGGCCAGGGGTGCTTGGCTGAGGCTGGCAGGGACCAAACATAACTGAGCTGCATCACAAGCAGTGTGACCAATAGGTTGAGGGAGGGGATTCTGCCCCTCTGCTCTGATCTTGTGAGACCACACGTGGAGTGCTGCATCCAGCTCTGGGGTCCTCAACACAGGAAGGACATCAACCTGTTGGAGTGAGTCCAGAGGATGACCACCAAATTGATCAGAGGGATGTAGCACCTATCCAGTGAGGAAATGCTGAGAGAATTGGGATTGTTCAGCCAATGTGACCCAATTTTGGCCTTCCAGTATTTGAAGGGAGCCTACAGGAAAAACGGGGCAAGACTATTTACAAGATCATGTAGTGACAGGAGAAGGGGGAGTGGGTTCAAATTGAAAAAGAGCAGGTTTAGATTAGATATTAGGAAAAAATCCTTTACTGTGAGGGTGGTGAGGCACTGGAACAGGTTGCCCAGGGAAGATGTGGATGCCCCACCCCGGAGGTGGTTCAAGGCCAGGCTGGATGGGGCTCGGAGCAATCTGGTCTAGTTGGGGGTGTCCCTCCCTGCTCATGGCAGGGGTGTTGGAAGTAGATGACCTTCAAGGTCCCCTTCCAACCCAAACCACTGTTTGATTCCAAGACGGCCCGAGCGCCCGTTCCTCAGAGAAGGGAGGTTCCGACGAGCGGAGCCGCAGGGCCCCAGGGCCGTCGCCCCGCTGGAGCTCGAGGACACCCGGCCAGAGGTTCGGGGACAGCCGAGCAGAGGTTCGTGGACACGGTGGAGTCCGTTCGTGGACACCCGGGCGGACGTTCGGGAACACCCGGGCGGACGTTCGGGAACACCCGGGCGGAGGTTCGTGGACACCCAGGCGGAGGTTCGGGGACACCCGGGCGGAGGTTCGGGGACACCCGGGCGGAGGTTCGGGGACCCACTGGGGTCGGTTCCTGCACACCGCTGTTCGCGGACTCCGCCGGCAGCGCCGCCGCCTCCGGCAGCCACCGCGCGCGCACCCGCCGCCGTTGCCCGAGCGACGGCCGGATGGGCCAATGAGGCGAGGGGGCGGCCCCGCCGCCGCCCAATCGCCGTGCGGCGCGGCGGGAGGGGGCGGGGCGCGGGGCCGGCATGTGGCGGGCGGTGTCGGGGGCGCGGCGGCTCCTGCGGCCGCTCGGGGCCGCGGCCGGGGCCCACCCGCGGGCGGTGCCGCCGCCACCCCGGGCCCCGCCGAGTCCCCGCGGGGGCTGCGCGGCGGCGGGAGCCGGGGCCGGGGTGCTGGAGGCGGCGGCGGAGCGGCGCCAGGCGGCAGGTAGGGCCCGGGCGCGGGGTCCGCGCTGCGGGGGTGACCCTGAGCGAGATGTGACGCCTCGGGGAGAGGGGTCTGCTCGGGGGCGTGGAGTCGCGTCTGCAGGACCCGTGCGGTGCCCGGTGCGGTGGGGTCGGCCTCACCTCGGCTGCCACCGCGGGCCTCGGGGTCACGGCATCGGCGCTGGGCCAGCACCGGCTCCCTTGCCCTGCGGGGAAATGAGGATTCGGGGCTGGCGCGGATGGATCCTGTGTGTGGATGCCTACAGGAACTTCTGAGGGGGCGGTGGTGCCGAGCTGGAGGTGTTTTTGGGCCGTGCACCGGCGGTCCCCCCGTTACGTAAGAGGTTGGGAAGCAGTAACGGGTGGCTGGTTACGGGACAAGCCTCGTGTGCACGGAGCTGGCGTGTCCCTGCGGCTGCTCTGCAAACCTTCTCCAGCCCCGATCGTTGTGGCAGACCGTGCCCGGGGTTGTTTAAGCCATTCGCTCTCTGAGGAGCCACTGGAGACTTCTCATGTGGCTACCAGGCAAATATTTAACTTTTGTAACCACTGCGTCTGGAGGGGCTGTGGCCGTCGCTAATTTTCTGCATGTGTGACCACAGCAAAAAGTTGAAAGAGTGCATGAGTCCCTGAGCTCAAAGGCTTCCATTTACAGAAATCTGATCCAATTTCAAATCCCCCGTTCATGCATGTAATTGTATGTAGCTATTGTTCTTGTGTTTGGCTTTTTCCTTATATTGGGGAGTACGAAGTTTGGCTCTGTGCAGATGCTCGGTCTGCACTAACGTGCACTTTATAGTGGTAGACTTGCGTTGCTGACAGATTCAAATTATGCCTTAAGTGTGCACACAAATTGCATCTACCTAATTAGGACAAATTATAAATAAACTGGTTTCTCGGTGTGAACTCAAGGTAGTTGCACAGATTTAATGGTTTCTAACCTGGCTTGCTTAAACTGTTGAAGGACTAAAGCATTGTCTACAATATCATAATCCTCTGCAGCAGAGCCGGCTAGGGAAAGACAAAAAAAAGTGGCTTTACTCCATGTGGAGATAAAAAATATCTGCATCACGTCAGCTTCATTTTCAATATATTGATTTCACCTGCTTAAGACTCAAGAATAATTTCATCACCATGTATTGTCATGGGTCTGTTGAAAAGCATTGTTTTGAAATATTTTCAGTTTTGCCTATTGTTTTAATAATGTCTGTTGCGGTACTTAAATTTCATTCTTCTTTATTGACAAGTATCTTTATGATATCCTTGACTTTTAAGTGCTAACAACAAGAAATAAGTAAGCTAGCAAACATCAGAGTTTCCTTTAGGTAACTGTTATATCTAGTGCTAAAGTGTTGTTTACCAGAACACTGCTTAGTTCTCAGCTTTGATGGTTTTAAAGATGATTTGGAGAAATCTGCAGATCATGTTGCATTGTGAGTATCAAACCAAACTCCATAATGAGTGACTAGCTTAGGCTATAATTCAGTTAATTGCTATTTTATGGCTTCTTAAATGGTTGATTTTTGCAATTAAAAAGATAAATTGCCACTGTGTTATTTTTTCCATCTGCTCCAGATACTGTTCTTCAGAAGTTCAACATTGACTTTGTTGTAGCACTGCTGAGGCAAGAAAATGCTAAAGACATCTGTGTCATCTGTCCACCTCCAGAAATAAAATACTGTGATTATTTTATAATTGTGAGTGGATCTTCAACACGGCATCTCCATGCAATGGCACATTACATGCTGAAAATGGTAAGTTCTTGCTGCTCTCTCTGAGTTTTGGGGAATGGTTTTAAATGTTGTGAAGGGAATTTCCTCAGGTTTGCACGTATAAGGTTGTACCAGGTAAGCTGAAACTGATTACATTATATAATGTAGTCCTGAATGCATCTAGCAACTAACTGTGCTTTTTCCCATTAGCAGCATTACACAAAATATAGGTAATATGTTTTAAAAACAGACCTCTCTGCATGTAGAACAGTGATGACATCAGCAGAGTCTGGTGACTAGGACAGGAGTGATGTGAAATGGTGATGACAACCTGTGTCCACTTTTATCTTTGTCCAGCAAGTGCCATAACTGTTCCCAGTCATTCATAATACTCACTGTGACTGACTCAAACCCTAATCCCTAAAATTTCCAGATCCTTAGGTATATTGTAAGGCTGGGAAAAAAGATAGCATTGTAAGAGGCACAGGATCCCCTCCTGGGCTTAGTAAAGCAAACAGCTGTTTAATATTCACCCTGCTGTGCATGAAGAGGAGCAAAGGAAATGCAGTGGTAGCCATCCTTGCATAGAACTCCTGTGCTGTTTGGCTTTGTGGAATGTGAGCTTTTCAGTATAGAAATAGAAGTATAAATTCAGTATAAAAATACAAGTAGAGCTTGGGGATGAGGATCAGACTCAGGGAAGGGGAAACTTCATGGCCAGAAAAGAACTGTCTGAGTTTAAAAAGTGCAGTGTGAGGAGTATAACCAGTCGCCGTCTCAGTCAGCTGTCTAGTCTCAGCCTGGAGTTTGCCTTCTCTTCACCCACTTTCTTTCCCTTCCTGTCCCCATTTTTCCTTTGGCTCTTGGTTGTACATTCTTCCTTCCAGTCCCATTGGTTTCAGCTGTGAGACTTGAGAGGGGGAACGAAAGAGGGAGAGACAGTTTTGCTTTTCAGTGTATTTCTGAACAGGTTGGGGAGTTTCTTATGTTCCTTGCAGGAATTGATGCATCTTTGCAAACCAAATTTTTACCTTAAGCTGGAAGTTGCATTAATGTGATTTGAATGTACTAAATCTAAGTGCTTAGTATATGTTCTGTTTGCATAACTTGCAACAACTTAACAGCTTTCCATCTCCCCCAGACCAGGAGATATCAGTGAGTACCACTCACCCTGCAGAAACGTGGCTGTGCTTCATAGCTGCACCCCCTGGTGGCTGTAAAAGCAGCGATTTTTGTAAGGGCAGAGCCTCTGGGGAGATATCGGGTCCCTCCTGGGCCTCCTGAAAAACTGGGAAGCCTGACCAAGTACATGGGAGTGGCTGAGCTTGTCTCACATTGAAAGTTTTCTAGGCAAAAATAAGCTGAAGTTTAAGATGTAAAGCAGAGCAGGTGCTCAGTACTGGCAGGCAGCTGGCGAGCTTTACCATTACCATACCTAAAAGCTTATGTTGGTGCATGATTTAGCCACACTAAAACACAGAAGTGCTCAGGCTGTACCGAGAGATCTTCCTGCTTTGCTTCCAGTAGCTTGTAGATGGCGAAGTCCCACCTACTGCTTACCCATTTCCATCTGGTTTCATGTTAGAGGAAGAAGCTAACACTGGGCTTTATTATAATCTGTTCACCTTACACATCCTCTAAAGATGGGGCTTGGAAACTTGTAGCAGAGATCAGCCTTTGCAGCCTGATGATAGCTGATGGCAGTGACCACAGGGCTTTTAGTGTTTTAAGCCAACTTTCAGAGAGTCTTTGACAGCTACCTGCTTTTGAAGATATCTCACAAGCCACCTTAAAGAAAGGAAGGTAGAACTAGTTCTGAGTTACATTTTGAAAGTAACTCAGAACTAGTACTGTTTAAAAGTTTTCCTGCTGGTTTTCAAATGGGTCATTATCTGGCAGCCAGCCAGTTGTCTGGAACAGCCAGGAACAGTTGTGTTTGGTGATAATTGCATTCCCAGTGAGGGGGGACTCGCTTCTTAGCCAGCCATGCTGGTGTATGTTACTTTGTGTTTTGCCTTTCATGGTAGAAAGGACTGTTAGAGCCCTTTCTACTGATGCTTCTTGTAAAGAAACAAGTAGGTTATGTGCAGATCTGAAAGTGCCCATGCTTGAGCTTCTAGTTGTCAAATGTCCTCATCTCTGGTGGTTGCAAAGGGAACTACCCACTTTCCCTAGCTGAGTGTGTGCTTTGAGCTGCCCCCTCACCTCTCCCGCAGCGGTTCATAGCTTGGAAACCTGTGTGCCTGTCCTGGTTTTGCCCAGCTTGCAGTGAGTGGTGAGCATGTGCACTCCAGAGACAAGAGGCTCGCTTGAATGCCTTCCTCATGGCACAGGATGAAACTTTTTCACCCCTCTCCCCTCTGAGAAGAGGATAAACTTCCATTTCTGCATCCTTAAGTAGCCAGTGTAAAACACCAGTGAAAGGGATCGGAAATAAAACTTGGTGGTAGCGGCAGTTCTAGAAACCCAGTAACTGAAAGACTACTGTAATGCCGAGCAGTTGTATTCAATATTCATCTTGGTAAAATATGGATAACCTACAAAATTCGTGGATAACTGTATGGGAATTCAGAGCACTAGGTTCCAGATTTGATCTGAAATCCCACTGAGAAATCTGTACTTATCTTCCAGTACTGGAAGTGCATATTCTTTTTTTTGTGCAGACCCCAGAACCAACATGAAGTAATCTAACCCATTTAAGCTTTAGAACAACTCAGCAAAATCTAGCTTTTCTGTTAAGTTTTAGTGCTTTTAAATAAATGCAAAGTACTTAATTTCCTGCCATTACTTTTTTTCTTAGTACAAGCATCTCAAAGAAGAAGGCGATCCTCATACTCAGATTGAAGGAAAAGAGACAGATGACTGGCTGTGCACTGATTTTGGTAAATATTTGTGAAACTGACAAGTACAAAGTTCTGCATGAGCTCTTTGTTGACAGAAGCATCTCACCATGAACCCTGGTTGCTATGGGGAATTCACAATACTTTCCTGTTTTGGAATTCCAGTTGTTGCTTGAACTCATTGAGATACTAAATGATTGTTCATTAAATATCTTTGGCACTGAGAAAACATACTCTTTAGTGGCTAAAACACGTTTTAATAAATTGGAGATAACAGTAGTGGAGAAAAAAAAACAACTTTTGTCAAATTTCTCAGGTTTCTAGAACCCCTGTTTGGTTAAGTGGGTACTTACTGTATACTGCCTTAGGAGTGAACTATTAAACAGGCTTTTTCACTGTCCAGATTATACCATGACATGGGGTAAAACATCAGTCCTAAGAAATTGAGTGTAATTCTTTATTCTACAAGTGCAAAACTCTACACAAGTTTAAAAGACTGCATTCAAAAAGCATTTCTCCTTCACTGCTAACTCTAGAATATCATCCTCTAACTTGGTGTTTTGACCTGAAAGAGAGGATAGATGAGTAAGGAGCACTGCAGCCAGTGATATTAAGCCTTGGTTACTTAATTGTCATAATACTTGACTGTAATAACTGAAAACCAATTAAAATTTAAGGGCATAAAATTGAAAACCAATTGAAATTTAAGGACATAAAAAAAGTGCATTAGACAAACCCTGGAATAAACATTCTCTACCGTTGTTTGCACAGAACGGAAATATCTAAGAAAAACTTACCAAAGTTTGGACCTATTTCATTATAAAAACCACCTGAGAAGTGTGAGCAACACAACTAAGAAAATTACTTGGCTATAGCTGGATGTTGTTGGTAATAAAAGCAAGCTGAAAATCCATCTGTCACCTTGTGGGAGTCTTTGAAGTAGAATTCCTTTTGACTTATTTTCTTCTGTCCCATAGAAGTCATAACTTCTTTGGTCTGGAGTCCTGTGATAATGTCTTGTTGTGAAGTATTGTGCCTCATTTTTGTGAGTGTAGTCTTGGAGTCTTTTGAAGGACTGACCAATTCCTAACGCTGTTTAAGAACTGGAAGCAGCAATTTAAGAAGATACCTCTATCAGCTGACCTGTTATATTGACCCAGAATGGGGGTGGAAGACTTGAACTCTTTGCACAGCTGAAGGTTTAGTAGTGCTTTACAGTCCACATTAATTTATTGTGAATTTCTGTTCTGCACAGGTAACATAGTGGTGCATTTCATGCTGCCAGAGACACGAGAGGTTTATGAGTTGGAGAAGCTGTGGACTCTCGGTTCCTACGATGACCAGTTAGCAGAGATGACTTCACAGTCCCTGCCAGAAGACTTTATATTTGGACTGACTGCTGACAGCAGTGATCAACTTGAGACAAGAACTTAATGCAGCTACTGTGTGGAAAGAGAATGGGTGTGCCTTCACAGATCAGAGAGAGGCTTTGGAACTGACTGAGCAGTCAGTACAGTTATCAGTACAAAACAGTGTATTTACTGGATGTGCCTAAGCAAAGTTCTAAACCAACTGAAAAAGTGATCAGAATCATAGAATCATCAAGGTTGGAAATGACCTTTAAGATAAAGTCCAACCATAAAATGTCAAAGAGGGAATCCTCTTAGAGCTTCCTGGGGGAGCCACTGTCCCAGTGGAGTTTGCAGTGAGAAGAGTGGGATAAAAACAGCTGCTCAAGCTACTTAACCTGAAACTCATGCTCATCCTCTGGAGTAATTGGTTTTTTTAGTGTCTTTGAAAAACTTGCCTGTAGTGGCAGTGCAAAACAGATTTGAGTGCTGCAAGTTAAAACTGTGAAATAGTACAGCTGGGATGACGCTTCTTGTGTTAAGCCATTTGCTTCTGGTCACAATAAAGCAAGTCATGGTCTGAGTTGAAGGGGGACAGAAAACAGACTGGTGTTACTAAGAACATAAAAGCCAAGAGCAGCAGTGACAAATAAAATGTGCTTTGAGTTAACAGAACAGTAAGTCAGTTTTTCAGCCAAGGCCAATCTGGTTTTAATAATAATAAAACCCAAACTGAAGTGCTTCAATTAGTTGTCTTCAGTTAAAAGATTCAGCTCATTCTGCATGTGCAGTTGGCTCCTCCTCTAGCTTTTCTCTCACCTGCTTTCTGAAAAGGGACACTGAGAAACACTCTGGCAGTATAAACCTTCAGCTCTTCGAAGTGGGCAAAAATAGCTCCATAGGAAGCCCTGGGTCACTGAGCATTACTTACTGCAAATGGACAGTTGGGCACTCTCAGAAGTTATCACACAGTTTGTGCTTAATCTGACTGCTCAGTGCTCTGCTAACCAGTTAAGAAGAGCTTCAAGGTGGTAAACTTGTCTATGTAACACACTCCACTACAGGGCAGAGCTTTCATCACTGGATTAGGATCTCTTCCTTCTGGAGAAATTTGCATTGCTATGCATCAGGAAGCAGAAATGAGATTCTGAGGGTAGTCACCTTTTTCACCCCATAGCACCACAAAGTACTCCGAGCCCTGCACAGCAGCTGCTCAAAGTGAGCCTGGTCATTGTGCCTAATGCTGTGTTGTTCAGGAGGATGTGTGCGTGTATTGAATTAAACAAACAAACAAACAAAACAACCAAAAAAACACACCCAAAACCTTCTCCCTCTATTTCACATCATGTTTTCTTTCTCTGCCTAGCCTCTCTTCTTTCAGGAATGAGTGCCCCCAAGTTCACCTGCTCTTTGATACAGGGCAGCAGATACTTCTGCAGTTAAGCAAAGGGCATTTATAAAATGTAGTTAAACTATACAGATAAAACATCTTTGCCCACAAAACAAATATATTAGTGTTAAGTTTGAGTGCAGAGAAGGACTTTCAAAATGCTTCATGATAACTTTTCAAAAGTAATCACATGGGGGAAAGATAACCTTGGCTGTCTTACAACCTGATGGGTTCTAAATCAGGCATTTCCTCCTAGGAGGGATGTGTAGGAGTAAGTGACTCATTCCCTGAAACAATTTGCCTTTTACTGCTGCTGAGGATCAGTAATACTAGATGGATAGAAGCAGGTTTAGGAAACATTAAGCCATTATATGAACCCACATTTAGTAACCAGAACCACATATGGTATCCTGTCTACGAGAGCATAATAATGAAAGGAGCACCTGGAAAAGAACACTTAGGGAACAGCTTCCATGGGAAAGGTTAGGATTCTTAGAGGTGAAAAGGGGTAATAGTTTGTAAGACAAGACAAAAAAATTAACGGAGGAGGCAAAAAGCCAGTAAAATAAAAAGGTATAACTGACTTTACCGCTAAAGCATAATGTGAAAAGGAGTTCTATGGAGCATCCACTGGTTGCTATTAAACAATCAGAACTGCCAGCCCAGGAAAACAACTTTGTCCTTACCCATTTAAGAGAAGCACTGACAATCTGTGCTGAGCTACTGCAATGCCTTAGTCAGGGTACTTGCCTGCCTTGGTGAGACTGCGGCCTGATACTGTTAAAAGCTGGGGACTTACAAATTAACTAAGTCAGGATAATCAGTACTGTGCAACATTAAACACCTTTTGGAAAGAAAACATTTGGGGAATTAGGTCAATGGGTCAGGTGATTTCTGTGTAAAATAAAAATAAATCAAGCAGCTTGTGCAATGAGTCTACAGATTCATCGTTTAGTCCTCTTGTACAGAGGTACATGCAGGTTTGGCTCCGTGCAGGATCCCTTGATGATGGATGAACAGGAGAAACCAGTGGAAGTGGAATTTTTGTCATCATTTCACCCATTTCCTGCACTGCATTTGAGTAACTTCATTTTCAGGTAAACACTGATTGTGTCCGTCAGTTGAGCTAACATCGCTGTTGCAGCCCAGCTTGAGTGCTTTCTCCACAATTTTTCATGTTCGTTTAAAAATCCTACACCCTAATACCGTATCAAACCCAGGCTGTCTTGCACAGCACACATGCTTCATTTAATGGGAAGTATTACAAAGAGCGCATGCCTTGGAAATTGCAGCTTCAGAATAAAAGCTCTGGAAGGTTGGAAGCAAATAAAAATGTCATGATTAAGCAAATGCTTAAAAAAAGGCAGGAGCTGAGCTGTCACAAATGCACTCACAGTACAGAGCAAGGCTTCTTACGTTGCTCAAATGGCAGGATGCTGGTTCTGAGAAGATAGCTTGATATTGGCATGGAAAAATGAGCTTAGGGTGTCCTGTGAAATACAATACACAGTGTCTTCTACAGACATAACTTCTTCAGTTCCCTCTTTCTGCTGGTTGGACCCAGGAAGTGAAGACAAGTAGGAGGCTGCAAGGGTTTGGAAAACAAGTTGTGTTTTCCACTCCTCTTCAGTGAGATACAGAATTGTGTAATTCATAATGTTCCTTCATTCCCCAACTCCTCCATCTCACCTCTGAGACATTCAGTTAGACATCCGGTCTCATTTCTATTCCAAATAATGTAAACAAGGATCTAAATATATTGGCATACCACCTCGCAGGCAAGTGGTGTGTGTTTGGGTGGTCATGGCTGGAGCGAGATACAGATTGCCCAGCACATTTGCTTGCTAGTGTGACTGGTTCTACCTATCCAACCTTCTAGGGCCACGTTCATTACACAGCTTCATCACACCAAAACCACCACAAGTAAAGACTGGGTTAAAAAATGCCAAAAAAAGAGAAAAAAATTATTGCATTTCGGATCTCACATCAAACCTGTTTAGGATTCCTTCACATTTGTCCTGGGACAGGACTGCTGAGTTCACATCTGTTCCACAGCAGATGAACCTGAGAGAGCTGTGCAAGACAAACCCTGAAGTATAGGTTCTACTACAGACGGTATGGCATTGTTAGATGGGAGGGAGAAGATGAATTATAAGCCCCAGAAGTCAATGCTTGTGTTGGGAAGTGCAAACATGGTAACCTAGTTGTCCTAGCAGCTATGGAATACCCATAAGGTGATAATTCATCCTTACCCAGTTGTTATTATGGACAGAAAACCAACTTGATCAAAGCACCGTAAATATTTAGAACAGTCTGTCCCTATGCCTCATTAATTTAAAAAAACACCACACAACTTTATCTGATGATAGGAGTTAAACTCTTTATTCCATTCAGAGGCATCTGGCAAGTAGAGCTGCATTGGGGGGCACATTACAGATGAAAAATGATCCATACTTTGTGGATATTGAAATCATTTACAGTATTTACTTTCTAGCTATTCCCAAATACTCCAAATTACCAAGTCTCAATTGAAAAGAAAAACATGAATTACCATATTAAGTCTAGAAATTTCAGAGAGATGACAGTATTTAAATCAGCAGATGTAAATGCAGCGCCTATCTGTAAAGTAATTTTTTATGGAAAATAACAAAGTCAAATCCTTCTCAAATGTTAAGAAAGGAACGTCAGACTGACTTAAGCCTCAACAAAATTTAAAATGCTATGTACTTTTCATACTTCAGTAATTTTAAAGTCATTGTAAGAAAAAAAATTATCCTAAAGGCTAGATGAAGGTCACTGTCAAAAAAGGAAAAGAAACTCATTTTTCTTTGCTAAAACTACAACATAAGTTTGTGGTTTTTAAACCAATTAGTAAAGAAGAGATGCAGGAAAAACACTTCAGACCATTTTCAAAATTATCTAATCTGTACAACAATGATCTTTGGGAAAATTATCTAGTCTATGTAGTAATGCCTCTATCTCAACATGAACCTAAGAGGTAGATAACAAAATGATGAAACAAATGTTTTTTGCTCGCTGTGCCCCTCAAATCAGTGCAGCATGGTGATTCTGATCATCTCATGCACAAAAAAACATCACAAAAAAGGTTCAGAGGTAATAGCATGGCTCTGTCGACCACACACACACAGGCGCGCACGCGCACACACACACACACAGCAGTCTTTATGCACCATGTGTTGCCACATTTTTTTTTTTTCTTAAACTGAGGTAGACTGAAGTTTATTGTAGAAACTTGAATGTGTCACTATTACCACAATCATCATTCAAATTACATTTGGAAATTAAAAAATTTGGTAACTTTCCTGTTATCCCTGCCTTTTGACATTTTTTTTTTGTTCTTCTCTAATGGTTGGTTGCAGAACGTGCATAAATCCTGCTGCATCTATTATAAGCCAGGCTAGAGAGGTTGTTGTTTTGTTTTTTTTTTCTTGTAATCATTTTTAATACCTTCAAAGTGGCTTAGTGTGGCCCATAACAGCGGCTGGATATGTAAACTTAGCCTTTCATTATCTTTCAATGATCAAACACTGTTTGACCTTCCCCCATCGTGGTAACTGAAAGCAGTATGATGTGATCTGCAGACAGCAGAGAGCCTCTTGGCCTCAAATATGCTCTAGCAGATCAAGTGTTCTATCAAACTGAAGATGAAGCTTGCTCTTTGAACAAAATGGCAAAGTCCAAATGGGCTGCAAATGGTTAAATGTAGCATTATTAGGTAGTGATGGTCAAAGGCACAAAGGGTTCATGCATTCAATCAAGTAGCACAAAAAAAAAATTCAGCCTCTTGCAGCCTTCTAAATTTTTCCCCCAACCCCAGCCTCTTGCCATCACTTCCTTGTCCTGTTCCCAAAAAAGTACCGTCACAAACTTTTTCATCCCATCTTAAAAGAAAACTAAACGGCATTGCTGCTATCAGAATGTTGGCATCATTCACTATCTTTTGAACATTCACTGAATTTTTTTTTTAAACAAATGATGGTGTTGAAGCCCTCAGGAAATCTGAGGCTGTGTTTTTTTTACCCACCTTACTCCCATCAGCCAGCAGCTAGAAGTGCTCTACTATATTTTTCCCCGATAAGTCTGTAGTACTCCTGGCTGGTGGCTGATCAAATTTTAATTTTTTTTAAAAAAATAAAATGCTCAAGAACTATTAGCTTTATAAAGTATACAAAATACCAAAAAAAAAAAAGCAAAAAAGGAACAATTTCTCATTGAGGTACTAAATGCCTGAGGTAGTTTAGTAAAATGCATATTTATCTTTTTATGCCCTGGCCAACACCATTCAACACTTCCCTTAGGTTATTCATGGCAGTGTTATGTAAAAATGCAACCAAATTATTTTTAAAAAATGCCACTTGTTTCAACATTGGGACTAACACTTAAACTCTTGTCAATACCCTTGCTCTAACCCAAGCCCACCCACAATCCCACCCTCCAAATGTGTTTCTTCTTTTACAACTGGACCTATAAGAGCAATGCCTTTTCTTTTTTTGTTGTTGTTGGTTTTTTCTTTTCTTTTTTTTTTTTTTTAACCAGTGAACTCAGAAGAGAAAGCTTCATTAAACCAAGTTCTAAAATTGTTGGGGAATAATAAGAACAATAAAAAAGACTAACGAGTTTATGTTAAATTGTGAGAATAGAACAAAAGGGAAGTGAAGGGGTCCTTATTTTAAAGCTGGGTTTCAAAAGTTTGAGAGAGCCTAAAGAATACATTCTCAGAGACAGCGTTCAACGGTTGCCTGGTCCTCGAACAGGTGATTGGCTTGGTGGATCTTCTGCATAACTTCAACAGGTGCTCACCACCCGTCTCTCTGTCGCACAGTCTGTCTTTGGTCTGGCATCTGTCTCTGATGGGCCATTTCCTAAACCTTTATTTTCGTCTTGGCTGAGGCTGTCCGCTTTGCAATGTTTTTTGCTGTTGCTGCTGCCTTCTTACCTGAGCCAGTATTTCCTGAATTTTTCTCTGAGCAAGCTGAAGGACACAAAGAAGAAAAAACAGCCCATCATGATGCCATGCTGCAGTGACTGCTGTTTACAACCAACAACAGATGCTACTAGGATT